TGCAGTCTCTTTGTCATGCAATCTGCAATCTGCTGCCCAGAGCTGACATGAGTAAGGCTGATAATCCCAACATCAACTTTCTCCTTAATGAAGAAGCGACCAATTTCCACATGTTTTGTCCTATCATGTTGAACTGGGTTATTGGCAATGCTTATAGCTGACTGATTGTCACACCACACTCTCAAGGTTCCTTCCTCAGAAGTTTCAACTCTCTCAGAAGGTTCTTCACCCAGAGCATCTCACTCAACCCTTGAGATAAAGCTCTATACCCAGCTTCTGCTGTTGATCTAGACACAACTGTCTGTTTCTTGCTTCTCCACGACACTGAATTTCCTCCCACAAACACACAATAGCTTGATGTTGATCTTCTACCTCTTGACAACTGGCCCAATCAGAATCATTATAGCCATCCACATCAAGATGTCCACTCTTTGCAAAGTACAACCCTTTTTCCTGAAGTCCCCTTCAAGTATCTCAGGGTTTTGTGCACTGTGTCAAGATGGCCACTCCTGAAGTAGGGGCTGCACGACATACCATCATGCCCATGTCACTCAAGAGGTCCAAGGTTTTTTACGTTTGCACAAAGATATTCTCTTCTCCGTCTGGGCCACTTATATGCCAAGGAAGTATTTTAGGTTGCCCAAGTCCTTTACCTCAAACTCCTTGCTCAGTCACCCCTTCAATCTTTTTATTTCCTCATCTCCAGTGATGATAATGTCATCCACATAAACTGCAAGAATGGCGATCTTCCGATCAGAGTGTCCATAGAACACTGTGTGGTTACCGTTACATTGACCATACCCCATATCACAAACAACTTGTCTGAACCTATCAGACCATTCCCTCGGCTATTGTTTCAGTCCATAGAAGGATTTCTTCAGCCTACATACCTTCCCCGTAGTCTGTTCTGTGTACCAAAACATGGTGGTATCTCCATGTATACCTCTTCCTGGAAGTCACCATGTAAGAAGGCAGTCTTGACATCTAATTGGTACAATTTCCACCCAAAGTTTGCAGCACAGGAAACCAACATCTTTACTGTGTTCATCTTTGCCACTGGAGCAAAAATCTCATCATAGTCAATTCCATAAGTTTTACTATAACCCTTGGCGACTAATCTGGCTTTATACTATTCCACCTTCCCCTTAGGATTCTGCTTCACGGTATAGATCCTGTTACAATTCACTGCTTAATTTTCTGCTGGCAATGTGGTTGGCACCCACGTCTTGTTTTTCTTCAGTGCTTCCAACTCCTCTATCATGATTCACGCCACTTTGGATTTTGCTTTGCAGCCTTCCAACCCTTTGGGGTTGACACAGTTTGTAGAGAGGCAACACTCTATAGGAAAGAAACAAAGCCTCATAAGACACAAAATTGCCAATGTCATGGTGATCACAAGCATCATCCCATGGTAGAGCCTTCCTTGCCGCTTCATGTGTTCCCTTTCGCAACGCTATGGGCAGTTCCACTATGTCCGATGAGCTTCAAGATGGGAATGAGCTGACAATACCCATTGGGACATTGATCCAGCCCAAAATTTCAAGGCCAATGGGTCTTGGGTCGGCTTCATACGCAAACTGGGCCAAAGAAGCCAGTCATCATTGGCCCGTCGGGACAAGCGGGTCGACCCAAGTTTGGTTGCATATGTTGTATTATGCCATTACGATAGTCGATAGCATATGCCTTTGCTAGGGATGTTAGCCTTGCGTTTATCCGAAAAAAATTAGGTATTAACCAAAATTCCATTTGTTCTGAAGTTACAAATATACTAAATCTAGACATTTATGATCAATACTTCTGGATTTTATTGTATTACTAATATTTCATTTGTTTTTCTTTGAACATTTTTTTTGAGAAAATGCAAAGGGCTTTTGCATTTCATTGCATTGAAAAGGTAGAGTTTTGATACAATCCTCCTAAGAGGTCAGTTACAAATTAGGATCAGCGAAACTAGTGCACGTCCCAGGTGGGCGGCAGAATGACGCGTAGGCCGTGGGCGCCCGCTCTTGCCCACTGCTCGGCTTCCTCTTTGATCTTCGAGACCAGGACCTGAACCAGGGGTTGGGCGCCCTCAAAGATGCATTCCTTGCGCTGTTTCCAGATCATCCATGGTGTCAACAGAGCAATGGAGGCTAGGCCCTTACGCATCAGTGTTGGCGTGTTTTGCCTTGCCTGCAGCCACCAGTCCATGAGTGAATCTTCGTGGCTTGGCCCTGTAGTGGTCATCCATAGCTAGGATAGGATTTCGTGCCAAGTCTGCCTGGCGAAGGGACACTCCAAGAGGAGGTGCCGCATCGTCTCGGGAGCCTGGTCACAGAGTGGGCATCGTGGCTGGTGCTGGAGACCGCGTCGAGCCAAGCGGTCGGCCGTCCAGTACCGGTCTTGGTTGGCCAACCAGTGGAAAAACTTCACTCTTGGCGGCGCCCAATTCTTCCATATGAGCTTCCACGAGAAGCAAGTCATGGATCCCTGGAAGGTGGCAAGATAGCATGAGCTAGCAGAGTATATACCGGAGGCCGTCCATCTCCAAACTAGCTGATCAGGGGTGTCCGAGAGCGTGATATGCTTGATTGCCAGCCAGACTTGAAGGTACTGGCCAATCTCGTGTATGCCCAAGGTCCCATGAATGTCCCTGGCCCAGCTATGGCCTTGCAGTCCTTCAGCGGCGGTCCGGATTTTGCGCTGGTGTTTGGGTATGCACTTGTAAAGTGCCGGGGCGATCTCACAAATGGATTGTCATTTATCCAGCGGTCTTCCCAGAAATATGCCGTTGTTCCGTTTCCGAGGGTCATTGTGGTGGACGCGAAGAAGAGCGCTCGCTCCTCGGCAGAGAATTGTAGGTCCAGGCCATTCCAGGTGCGCTCATGGTCAGTGTGCGAGAACCATAGCCATCATAGCCGTAGAGCAAGGCCAGCGCGCTCCAGGTCCTGGACTCCTAGGCCTCCGTGCGATATGGGGCGGCAAACACGGCGCCAGTTGACATGGCAGTGGCCTCCATTAGCGGCAGCGCGGCCGGCCCACAAGAAGCCATGCTCAATCTTCTCAATTTGACGAAGCGTCTTCTTTGGCGGCGCGTAGGCGAGTAGTTGATGCATGGAGATGGCGCTCAGCACAGACTTCACCAGCGCAAGCCGCCCAGGCTTGTTCATCAGGTTGGCCTTCCAAGCAGGGAGCCGGCCGGCAATCCCATCAACTAGGGGCTCCAGTTGGGCAGCAGTTGGTCGACCTACCGTGAGGGGGATCCCGAGGTATGTGATCGGCAAGTTGACGATGGGGCAGCCTAGGTGCGCAAGTGCTGCTGTCGCCTCGTCCGTGTCACAGTGCAGCAGCGAGGCGGAGCTCTTGGCGTAGTTCACCATTAGGCCGGAAGCGCGGCCGAAGAGCGTCAAGACCTCACGCACGGCGATGATGTCACTGGGCGAGCAGTGGCAGAATAGCACCACGTTGTCCGCGTACAGCGACACAGTGGGAATGGAGCGCCTCGGGTGTAGCCGCGCCATGACTCCCATGTCAATAGCGTGCTTGATGAGGCTGCCCAAGATGTCAACGGCGAGCACAAAAAGCTGTGGTGACACAGGATCACTCTGCCGGAGCCCCTTGCGGTGCTAGATAGGTGGCCCTGGCTCACCGTTCATCAGTATACGTGTGCTTGCCGAAGATAGGAGGATGGCGATCCACTCCATAAATCTATTTCCGAAGCCATATTGGCGCAGGGTCTCCATGAGGAAGGGCCAAGCCAGGGAGTCGAAGGCCCGCGCAAGGTCAAGCTTGAGCAAGACTCGCGGGGCACCCAACTGGTGGAGAAGCCGGGCCGATTACTTGACTAGAATGAAGTTGCCGTGGAGGCTCCTGCCGGCGATGAACGCATTTTGGCTCCGGTTCACAAGGTTGTCCAGCTTCGGGGCGAGTCGTAGGGACAACACTTTGGCGAAGATCTTTGCCACTAGGTGAATAAGGCTTTTAGGCCGGTAGTACGCGAAGATCTTTGAACATTTCTAGAGTTACAAAAATTTAGCTTCATATTTCTAGATTTTATTTGATGATAGAAATAGAAATATGCCTTGTTTTCCTTTGAACAAATAAAATCTAGACATCCTAATATACTAAAAATTTCTACCGCTAAATGATGCTATTTGAAAATATTTTATTGTATTACTACTCCCTATTTTATGCAGAATTTAGTATTAAAATGGGTCGGATCATGTTACCCAATGGGACATAGGCTTTGCAATTCAGTCATAGGTTTTGCAACAAATGGGTCAGTCCAAACAAATTTCTTCTCTTTCTTCAACAATTCAGTCATAGGCTTTGCAATTTTGAAAAAGTTCCCAATAAACCTCCTGTAATAACCCGCAAGGCCCAAAAAGCTGCGAATCTCTCCAACTGTCGTGGGTGTCTCCCACTCTGTAACTGCAGCAACCTTAAATGGATTAACTGCAACTCCATTATCTGACACAACATGTCCAAGGAACGCTACTTCATCCAGCCAAAACTCACATTTGCTGAACTTGGCATATAGCTGATGTTCCCTCAATTTCTCCAATACCAAACGCAGATGCACCTCATG